TCGATACGTGTATTAGTGTGAGCCGCAGCCCCAGCCACCCCACCCATAACTACATAAAAAAGCTTGTTAGTGCACACCTTTTGAGACTGAAATGTGTAACTCACATGTCGTATTTAGCTTCATTATACTAATACAAAATACACAATCTGTAAAACCTCTAAAAGGAAAACAATGGTTCTTTTCCCGTGATGGTCAGTTGTCAGAAAACACTGACTTTTTTATTTCTATATTTCAAACAAAAATGTTACTTTGTTTCCTCACGGGCACCCTGTTTTTCGTTTTTACTGTTACTATTCACTCGATGTTTTACACTTTTATTAGCATAAACATTAAATTAAATGGCAGCAAAAGCTGTTATAAATATGCATGATTCGATCCCGGTTTTGAAGGTATGTAATTCGGGCGAAAGGGCTTACTATGGTCTATAATGGAGGGAAGGGACGAACAACTTCGACTTAAAACTGATATTCAATCCTGTATGGGAAAGCTTATATAGGGTTTTTTTTGGTGACTCCGCTCTACAAAACCTGTTATGCTATATATGAATAGAATATAGCCATTTTGAAATGAACGGATCAACCTTTTTTATGCTCACCTTCCAAACGAATGTTAATCAATGGAAAACTATGAAGATATTTTAAACGCTTTAAACATACTGTATTTTGTAGAGGTTTCCGCGCTGATTATTTTGCTATAAAACATGTTTCAAATCACTCAACAAATAAAGATGCTATCATCAAAATACTGAAAACCTTGAAGAGATGATTCAAATTTACATGCTTCAGTATTTTGACCATAAAATCTTTATATCTTTTCGATCTGGAAATATTTTATTGCCAAAATGACCAGCACAAAAATCTGTACAAGACAGGCGATGTTTAAAGCTTTTCTGATGACCTTTGTCTTTTTATGATTGACCTCGAATGGAATCATCCTTCTAATAGTAAAAATAAAGTTGATTAACTTCAAATGAAAATTAAAACTCATCAAACCATTGTTGTGTTCTATTCAAAAGAAGTGAGAGACTGAATTCAATTGAAATCAGTGTTCATCCATACTGCAAAGCTCTGTTTCATCTCAATATTCTCACTATCAGCTGACATTCATCCAAATGCTCGATGGCAACAGAATGGTCTCACTGTGGCTGGAGGAAATGGATATGGCAATGGAATCAATCAACTCTCAAACCCATGTGGTTTGTATGTTGATGATGATGATCAAACAGGCTATATCGCTGATGCATCGAATCATCGTATTGTGGAATGGAAATGGGGTGCGACGAGTGGCCAAGTGGTTGCCGGTGGAAATGGAAAAGGAAATGGGACTCATCAGTTGTCCAACCCATTAGATGTGATTGTCGACAAAGAGAGAGATAGTCTAATCATCTGCGACAGTTCGAATAATAGAGTGGTTCGATGGCCTCGTCGAAATGGGACAAGTGGAGAAACAATCATCTCCAACATCCATTGTGGGGGTTTGACAATGGACGAGAATGGATCTCTCTATGTCGTCGACAATGGAAAGGATGAAGTGAGACGATATCGAAGAGGAGAATCTCAAGGAATAGTGGTTGCAGGTGGCAATGGAAGTGGAAATCGTCTCGATCAAGTCTATGACCCACACTACGTATTCGTCGATCGAGATCATTCAGTATACGTGTCTGATTGGGAAAATCATCGTGTAATGAAATGAGTGGAAGGTGCAAAACAAGGCATTGTCGTGGCTGGTGATCAAGGACAAGGACATGGTCTTACACAGTTGTCACATCCTTGGGGAGTCGTTGTCGATCAATTGGGCACTGTCTATGTGGCTGATGCAGGAAATGATCGAATAATGCGTTGGCCCAAAGGAGTCACAAAGGGAAGTGTCATTGTTGGTGGAAACGCTGAAGGAGGACAATCGAATCAGCTCAATGGGCCCACCGGTTTGTCATTCGATCGACACGGCAATCTCTATGTCGTCGATAACGGAAATCGTCGAGTACAAAAATTCAATATCGATTCAAATTCTTAACAGATGTTGAGAGCACTTTTTTAAAAAGAAAGGTGTTATAAGGAACCATTGAGAGTTCTAGCGAAGATGCTGAACTTTTAAGGTTTCATTTGATAGCACTAAATCATCAACGGTTCTAGCTAATTTAAGGAACCTTTTCAAGTGAAAAAGCTGCGAATTGTATAGGAGAGGTCTATCTGGCACCATTTTTTTAGGCTGAACTCGTTTTTTATAAAGATGGTCCTAGCGGAACTTGCTTGAACTACACTGATAAAAGTGGCAACTGAGTCCTATGAGACTTGACCTTTACTATACCTTTAGACTATGTTACATATACATGAAACCTCACTAAAGTTTCTTAATC